TTCTGCCAATTTTATCATTTATCTTCTCGTCCTCTTTCTTTCACTTTTAATCTTTAAACAGAGTCAGAAATACATGTGTACATGTCTCATTATTTATGTTAACTTCAAAATTAGATTGCGTCGACCAGAAATCTGTTGGTTATTTTTTATAAAATTATATATCAATCTTATTTATACAAAAATGAAATATTTACCTACGATATTTATTTGAGTAATTTATTTATACAACACGTAGCGATTAATCTAGCGATTCCTAGCTCTGTTTAAAGATGATCACGCAGTACATTTACCATTAGAATTAAACGATTAAATCGTACACCGGGTAATGAGTAATCGTAGAAACTGGATAACAGCTAGAAGCGATCGAAACTATTTAAAAACCACGAACGACAAATAACTGTCTACTCGATCTTGTACTATTTAAGAGTGCCCACGTTTTCTTAACATTAAATCTCAAGCATAACTCATACATACTTCCTAACTGCATAATCATGGATTATCACGATTTGTACCTAAACGTTATTCGGGTGCTTGAGATTGAAAATTGTTTAAATAAATGTAAATAAAGTAAACGATCGCACAATCATTGTAAACGTACAGTGACTTAAACGAGTATTGGCGCAATGCTTGTTCTACTAATTAACTAGTGTTAAATATGGTCGACACGCGCGTGCCTAATACTTTTTCCAGTTACTGTACAAGTGGTCCAGTCGCAGCGATCGCCGCCAAACAATATCAGTTTAGCATAGACCGACATAGCATTTGGTGTACCTATAATCAATTCGTAATGCAGTCCAACTAAATCCATTAGTGATAGATGCACCAGTTTTTTCACTAACAGGTACAAGTTTATTTAATGTATTATGTATAATCTAGATGAAATTAAGGAGGTATACATCATCGATTTGTTGAATTCGAATTAGAAATCATACGGTCATCGAGACTAAAAAGTGATGTATTTTTCGAAGAACGTCGAGTAAAAATTTCGTATGTCCATAACGCCAAGCCAACGATCCAAAAATGGAACTTTTACTTGCGAATGATGAAATTTCGATGTAGAAACAAATTTTACATGGTGGCCAAATTTTGTACGGTTGTGTCCCTTCCGCATTTGTGATCACGAAACGTAGTTGATTCGAGATATATTTTCTAAACGATTGTTTTTTGTAAGATCCGTCTTGAAAGTGAGGGCATCGTTCACATATCAGACACATTGATTTAGACTTAGGAATTCTTAAACGTATAATCTTACCTATATTTTTTATTATTTGTACATTACAATTTATACGCGAAACAGTAGAATCCATTCTCTGTGTAAGAGAATTATTTTAAATATAAGAGAAATTAGGATACGACACGCACAGAGAAAAATCTTGAAGGTAAATTTTTGGAAATGTACATTCTGTAATTGCACGAGACATTCATCACATAATCAATATCACTAAAATTATCATTGAAGACTATTAGTATTTTTCTATGTTTCAAGAAAAATTGTATAAATGATAAAATTGCTTTGTATGATAAAGTAAAAGTTGGCTTGGCTCCTTCCAGACTCAGTATTAAAAACAAAAATTAATATAAGAACAAGCGTTATATCCTGATTGGACTTTTCAACTTCTACTTCTCTTTCGGTGACTTATTTTTCAAAGAGCAAATACAGCTCAGGTAAATTTCTTGGCACAGCAAGAATGGAACAATGAGCTCAGGATATAATGCAAACATCTTAGATAAAAAGATCGCCAATCATATTTTACTTGGAAATTCTTCCAAGTAAACTATTATCAGTAGTTTTCACTTTGTTCCAAACTGACATACACACACATACACACATTATTCTTTCTACAGATTATAAATTTTATAATCAATCGTTGGCAGTAAACAAAACTAGTATTTTATATACGATTATAAGAAAAAAGTAGGTAGTTATAAGGACTTTATATCTCTCACATTTTGTGTGAAACTTCTATCTCCGAGTTCACACGAAACAATGGAAATGAATTTGTTAATAATAACAGAGTATTTTAATCGAGGCTGATCAAGCTTGTGGATATCATAATTATAAATAATGGGACCGTATTAATTAAGATTTTTTAAGGTGTATAAGAAAAAGAACATAACAACAGGTTTCACGAATGCCAACAAACACTTTTGCTAGCCCTTTCTTCCTGATTCTGTGACTCTGTTGAACTATTGATAAACAAGAATGTAATTTATTTATTGTAAATAAAAAACCATATATTGCTTGTAAACAATTTCTACATTAAGTAAGTATGTGATCTCGCATTGAATTAACAATGATTTTTGGTAATACGAAACAGAAGGGAAGATCGATCGCTTTGAAGGCCATCGGATTGTTATAATTCTTCTAGAACGAAACAGTATCGCGAGTATAAGAGTACAATCGTAAAAAATTATGTGGGATGGGTAATAAATATTTAATATACAATGATGCGTATTATTTTATTATTGCTAAATTTTATTAGATATTCATCCCTTGTCTCCGTGCAAACATTAAATTACAGTGTTTGGAACATGTATATTTTTATTGTACTTAAACTTGTGTGCTTCACATTGGACTTGAGCTTATACATCTTCCATCAACTTAAAATCATACGTTTCAGTTATCCTAGTATTTGGTAATAAATCATCGTGCATCAAATACGACAACTATATTTTGATTAAGGAAAATAATTTCTTTTACTGTTGAAACAATTGACAGTTTAATATATCGTTTCTAATGAAAAGGATACGTCTTTTGGTACGTTTCTTATACATAATTCTGTATCCACATTCTCTGCATCGAATGGGATCTCTAGGTCGAATTTCGTTATCATGATGACATTCTATAAGAAATAAACGATTAGTAAAATAATTTTATAATCTCTGACACGCAGAGGTTGACCATAGTCAGACGTAAAAACTGAGGTTAGGATGGTTTTATTTGAATTATCTATCATACCTCCGCAAATATAAACCATAGCTTGCTTAGGTGTCGATTCCGACTTGCTGGATTCCATTTCTTACGAACTCTGAATGAAAATCGATCACTTCTTCAGAAGTTATTGCAACACGTGCGACGCAAGAGCAAATTTGTATACAATAGATCCTGAAAGTGCTGAAACCTTCTGGCTAACTTTTGAGAATTCACTTACTCGTTGAGTGCAATACTCTGTAGATCACTGGTGTAGCTTACTATTTTGCCGATTGCTCGAAGCAATTTACAGATTCCGACATTTTATAAATCGTTCGATATTTCCATGGAGTTAACAAAATCTTATGCTCTTCACAGATTGAAGCTTCACAATTACATTCATTACAATTACATAAATTAAAGATGTAAGACAGGAAGTAGTTCAGAAATATTTGTATTTGTGATCAGTTTATTACAGACTTGGATAACAAAACGGTATAAATAACGTATATACATCATCTGGAAACGTAATACTGGTAATAACTGCGTTGAAGTACTCTACATAAATTACTTCAATCACCGAGGCTTCAATTATATTTATTTTTATCTCTAATACTGAATTTGCTGTTTATTACATGACACAAAAATAAAATGTATCAATTCTTGTATGATCACGCGGAAAGCTTTCATATCAGCTTGCTATTCATATTGCGCATCAAAAATTCAAACATATGTTACTACGCATTTAAGACTTCATGTACTTTTACGTATAACTCTACTATAGAAAACAACTTATTTATATTCCAGATACTGATAACGAGCTTAAGAACACGTCCAGTGACCTGAAAGATGAATGGTTCATCATTAAAGTGTGTAAATGATCGGCGACGAAAATTCGAAATTCGGGCAAGGAGAAATCGAGAGGGTCGCCCAGCAACAGGAAAAGTTTTAAAATTGGCCATCAGAGGACCTTCGTGAATCCGTCCAATGAGAGCGGTTGGCAACTAACGGCGGGATGAAGTCGGCGTTCCGATTGGTCAGAGCGATCGCCAGGGCACCGCGGTGGGACAACGGATAAACAGATTTCAAAGTTTCTTGGCACAGTTTCTGTTTACGCGGAAGAGGGAGAGTCGAGCCGGCCGCGTGCGCATGTTTACCGCGAACCGAACCTCCGTTTCCACGCGTCATCGTTCTCGCTATTAGATATTTGTCCGCGATTTAATCGGCCGCCGGTGGTCAATATCCAGCCTGTCGTGCATTTTGACACAGTTTGGACGAAATGTCGTGCAACGGGGAAAGTGACAAGCAATCCTAGAGGAACGATCGTCGATTTTCCCGAAGGAGCGGCTCTTTTGTTTTGGAGAAAGGAGGGGCGCGAACGCTTCTACGACCACGAGGATTCTCTCTGCCAGATGCTCACCAGTTTCCCGCGCGACGCACGTGAATACAGTTTGGTCGAGGGGATGCGGAACTCCTAACCCTCAAGTTTCATAAACAAATGCGTCGGTATTCGGTGCAAAACGTCAGCCGAGAATTACGTAAAACGAAATGCCGATTAGTGTGATCCCGAAGTCTGTGTGCGAGAGGAGATAGTTTTCGTCGATTGACAGTTTCCGAGCAGAAGATGGAAGAGATGGAAGACGTTAAGTTAAGCGAGACGCCGCGCGGGTTGAACTCCAGCATCCGGAGTGCCCAGGACACCCTTGACAGCGGTTACCTCACCCTGACACCTCATTCAGGTGCGTGCACGTCGATTACTTCCGGGTACAGATCCAGAGTGTCGAGCACTTCGGCGAAGAGGTACCAGAGAACCCGGGTGGACCCGCTGCAGTCCACCCGGCCGCAGAGGCTGCGCTCGAAATTGAACCATCTATTAAATGCATCCGAATCCGATTACCTCATGTCCGAGAGTTCCGAGAAGAATGATCTGCTCCACGAGTCTGTTCGGTCGGATTACAGTTCAGACTCGACGAACTCGAACTTCGGATCGAACGATGTCAACCTACGAGGTAGGCTCCGTCGTAATTGCAAGACGACGGTGCCCATCACGCCGGCTTCGACGAGGCTGCAACTTCTCTCGCCGCCTCCGTCGCCCGCGGTGCCGTCGTCCTCGTTCATCGCCTCGGAACCGATCGAGGAAGACGTGGAAATGAAGCTAGTCATCGTGCCACAGAGCACGCCTCAGGTGATCACGTCCCCGCGAAGACCGCGTCCACCGCCGAGGATCATAGTCTCGCCGGCGAGGATCAACACGCGCTCGGTCACCGGCTCGTCGCAGAGCCATAAATTAAGCAAGCTCTCTATCACGGATATCACCTCGATCGCCGAGATCAAGCCAAAGAGGTTGGACTTCAGCCAGCGCGCAATCTCCGTCGCTCTGCATCGCACCAGGGCCACGCCGGATTTCACAGGAAGAGAAACGGTGGATATAATGGCTCTCCTTGGGGATAAGAGCAACCACTGGAGGATAGTCTCCAAGATATTCTCGTATCTCAGTCCTCAGGACCTTTGCTCCGTCAGCATGGTCTCCAAAACATGGAGAACGATCTGCAAGAACGATTCCCGAGCTAATATCAGGAGATTGACTCATGTAATAGTCCGACAAAACGCTAAAGAGAATCTGAAGCTGATGAAGAAGAACAAGTCGGAGGGCGATATACAGAACAGTCCCAAGAGCAGATACGCGAGAAAAGGATATCTGCTTCAGGTGCAAAATCTGCTTCAGGTGCAAGGGAATAACCAGCCGCCGAACAGTCCTCCAGTCTCTCCTAGTAAAGTGAAATTCCACTCCTTCGTCAAGGTAAGTGGATCAATTGATTATAATAACACAAGGTTCGAAGATATTCTCATTGACTACAGAAAGTATGAGGAAGCTTATTATTATATATAGACGTATAAGTATATGAATTGGCATTTTAGTATCTTTAACTGTAAGAACGTGGGAAAAAATCGTGTCGGGAATGTTTTGACCGTTTACCTTACGAAGTTTCTATGTGGGTATCATATTTAATACCTGTAAAGACAGTAAGTACGTCAGAGTCGCGTTTCCAGCTGTTATCGTGAAGATACTCGAGTAACGAGACGAATTTCGATGTATAACACGAGAGTAGCAACTGTCTCGTTAGTAGTCTCTATACTTGCATGATTTCAGAGTTTTATTTAGAGAAGCATAATTAAATTATATTTTTATATGCTTCGACTTCTTAAACGTAGAAAGCTCATCAAAGAGCTTTCCGTGGTTAATTTTTAAGCTTGTATGTATGTGTGTACCTATGAGAAATTCGAGCGGCATTTCAAAGAAGAAATCGCGATAAATCAACGTCAGCGCGGACGAGAAACAATTACCTCGGTTAATCTCGCATCCCGTGTTTCGCGTGCAAATTACGAGCGGCGCATTATTTTAAAAAATGTATATGTGTATATCCTAGGCTACCGCGGTGCGTGATCAGTCTACGAAATTCTGGCTCGCGTAACTATAAAGTCCAGAGCGAGGGACGAGGAGAATAATTATAGGTTTCGATACGCCCGGCTATATTTCATACGTACCATTCGTTAATCGAATTCGCAACGTAATGATCTGGACGTATCATTACTATTTGGCGAAAGGTACAAATATTTTTGTTTTTACGCGTACAGCTAACGTTCGCCGTTACTATCCTCGGAAATTCGAGTCGCGTAAATCATTCTCTCCTGGTGTTGCGAATATTCACATATTTATTTGATTTTATACGTCGAGTTCGTTTTTTGCTGGTTGCCTCGTTGAGTTATCTAGAAACCGCTTTCATTCAAGTACCTCGCACGCGTGAACTAGTTTCTCTAGACTCATTAAAGTTAACTCGTAAACTCGACCAAGTACCTAACTGTACACGTACCTGTTATTCGCACTTAGCAAGCTGTCCTCAGTTTCTTGTTCGATAGATGAACCGGGCAGCGTTATTATCGCGTAACAAAAGCTCGCTCTCGGTCTCGTCTCGCATCCGAAGTGCATGGTATGCGCCGATTCAAGGTCTCCTTTGTTGCACGCACCGCGATAACACGTACTAAGTGCACTACACTTATTCATCCGCGGCAATCAGAGGCCCTTTATCAAACGAATTAATTCCGTCGCGATTGGGTTAATCCGTCGTCATTGTAATTTTCTTCCTATCGCCTCGCGTGTGCTTTTCAACATTGTATCCTATATACATTGTTTAACTTTACCGTATCAAATATAGGCTACATAAGATATACATACAGTTCACTATAAACGTGCACTGTTAGGTGTAATGTGAACCGTGATCCGATAAATCATGGACTAAATTCGACGGGTACGAACCTTTCGCTCGAGTTTAGTGTAAATAAAAAATGGGATCTCGGTTAAGAAGGCGGGTGGTGGTTCTCAAACGACAAAGAGAAGAACAAACGTATGAGGAGAGGACAGGCCCTCCTCTTTGTTTCAGCATCGAACTCGACGGTAATATATTCGCATTGTTCTCTCCGCGTCTGGTTTTTGCCCTTCGGGGCAAAACCGCGGCGCGCGGACTCCAAAGGGTTCGGCCACGATTTTTCGAAGGTAAGAGGGCCGAAGATATATCGAACCCCACGGCTCACTTTATTAGGGTGTACGTTAAACAATATTTCTCTCTCCCTCGGCCCGGCATGAAAATGTCGACGCGGAGAGAAAGCGCGAATTATATTTATTCGACGAGATCGAGATCGGGGAACGGGAAGCCCTCCGGTAGCTTGTCGATTATGCTAAATCGATTAGAGTATCGTACGGGATTAATACGTTCCTCGCTCGGGTAACATTGCGCAATTATTTAAGGAACCTCGTTGGAGTAAAATTGAATTAAGAGTCCTCTGATAAATTAAAACAAATAAAATATGGTGGACAATTTTAATTTTAATCTTCAATCTCGTAAACATGTGTTTACACGTTTACACGTATTTCCTTCCAAGCATTGAAATCTCTTCACTGTTCCACTGAAAGTAATACACTCCTCAAAAACCACCTGTTTCACTCTTCGCTCAGACTTCGTCACTTTTAAACCTCGTACAGGATACCATAGAAATCTTGCGGTGAGAAAAAGATAGCGTCTGAAAATATATTTCTGCGTTTAATTTTCGTAAGGATTCCTATAACTGGAACGTCGTGAGAATTTCGCGCTGGGTGTAAAGCTACACCTTTCCCAGACGTTCTCTCCTTCCCTCGTCTCTCCATAAAGTCCACAAAGGACTCGTTGTCCGGAGGAATGTGTACGTTACATTTTGCAGAAAATATCAAACGCGAATCGTTCCGCCTCGAAGGTTCAGATAATGGTCCCTCTTAAGAAAAGTTAGACGATTCCACGTGGTAGGAAAGAAGGAAGGAAGGAAGCAAGGAATTGTCCCTTAATTAGCAGAAGGGCCCCGCGAGCCAACAGTTGCTGCGGGCCATGTTTCCTGTCCCCAGGAACTTCTGGCTCCTTTTTCCGGTGAGTGCCTCTTCTCCACCTTTCACACCGGATCTCAAACGTTCCTTTCGGTCGTTTCCTTGCTAACTAAACTGCTGCTATTTGTAATCGATTCCACGCTCCGATAATTAACTTCCTTTTAACCCTTTTGACTAGACGGAATAGACACTTTTTTAACGGATATTTTATATGGAACTTTGTTACTTAGAGTGCTAGTTACGATTTTCGAAATTTTTGGAAACGATTTGAAAAACGTTTAATGGATAAAAAAATTTTAAATGTTTCTAGCCGCGTAGGAACAAAGGTAGTCGATTCAATACGTTTATCGGCGGTATCGAAGGCATTCCTGGTCTTTTTGCGCGTCTCTCGGAATCGTGGGACCAGAGCCTCGATCGGGAGAGTCGTTACACGCATACCACCAGGCCCGAACCCTCTTCTCTCAACCCCTTTTAGCGCACAATGCACGTCTCTACACTTGCCCGTGGCAATAAAACGAAACTTTATGCAATTCAGATATCTGACAGTTTTAATATTAAAATAACATATTCAACAATAGCTTCGTTCATTTGAAAAAATTGTTCATCAAATCAGGTAGAATTCTAAAGAGAAAGTGAATTCCGAAAAATATTAAACAAAATTGTACAATTCCTTTTTCTCGAATAGTGTATCGTTGCCT